TGTTTTGCAAAACTATATTGAACTTATATTTATTATTAATAGATTATCAAGACCAATATTAATAAAACCCAAAGACAGTCTGTCTGAAATATTATTTACCTTGTTAATAATAACACCCCATTCACAAGACTTTCTGTTTACAACTCAATAAAGTCGAGTTATAAGTTATAAGAAAGAAAAACAATCCCACGGCAGAAATCATTAACTGAAACAATAACAAATTGTAATAAACAACAAATACATTTGCAATAACTGAGAAGACCAGCCAGACAATGAACAGAGTGAGATCAAAAGTTAAATGACCAATATTAATATAAGAAATGGCACAACAAACGGTCTTGGCAGTGAACAAAAAAGATGTGAAACTTATAAACATGTTGACAAATTTTGCCTCTGCTCGTTTTACTCGTTCTTTATTGTTTCCCCATTTTTTTTGCTTTTCCAACTTGGCCTTTTTCACCAACGCACGTCATGTGGAAAAATGCGCTGGGGAACAGGACTCGAAAGCTGGCGGAAGGAATGCGAGAAAGGCGAAGTCACCAGAAGAGGAGCACTACGAAAATACAAAATAACAAGGATGAAGGATATTTCGAGGTGTGGAATTGGTGAGTACCCTTGAACTTAGTTTCCAAGAGAAATATTCAGAATTATTTTAAATATAGTAACCTTAGTAATCATATTACTTAAATCAATGATGCATACGTTTGACTTCTCTAGTTAATAAACGTATTTTTATTCGGTATTTACTTAATATCTAGCTACCTTAGTGATAAAATGTCCTTTGGAAGGATATACAAAGACTTGGTACAGTTCGCTGAAATAGCACAGAAAACAGGAGCAGCTGCGTTTGATGTCTTTACTTGGAAAGCGGGGGCATGGCTTGACATTCCATTGCCCTTACAGCATAAATATTATATATATACATATGTATATTTTCGTTGTTAAAGGAACAGCAGGTTCCACCTAAGCTCAAGCTACTGAAGAATTCTAAATAAAAATTCTGCAAATTTTATTGCAATATCATGGAAGACATAAACTATAGTAATACCTTTCACAGCTATTCAAGGAAGAGGAAATGCAAATGTCATTCTTTATTTTATAGGTGCATTTTCAGTTGAAGCTAAAATATTAACTCATTGCTTCCGAAAACTGAGAGCTTGGCAGGACATATTCCAATGAATATCTAGTTTAATTTAACGAATTATTCTTCAGAATCAAGCTGAGAGTTGTATATTAGGAATTTAAGTTCAAAGCTAGATTGAACTTTTTATTTCCAATGAAAATCTATTTTATTAGCGGGTAAAACCATTATTTACTACTTTTTCAACACACCTAGGGAAAATGAGAAAAAGAAGAAAAGTAAAAGGGAACTTCATTAGACGAGGGACATCATCACAGCATCGGTGTCGCCATCGCTGTTGCCACCGTGTCGGTTGCAGTTTGCATATAAATTAGTGTAATTAAATGTCGAACAAGGGCCATTAAATTACATCAACAAAACTGTGGTTAATTGTGCCTTTGATGCCTTGGCAATAAGTGTACACTAAGTGAGGATGTTAGAATGTTGGAGACGTGAGGTCGAGTGTGTGGTTATAAAACTTTATGGCAGAACTTGATGGCTCTTCAAAGTGTTGCAGCAGCGACACAACTTGAGTGCATCCCGTATGGTATGATTATGGCTGGCAATTTGCAAAATAAGAGAGGAATAAAATCACGACTGTGTTCTATACTTTTACTACCAACCTAGGGGGTGAGTTTGTTAGATTTTTATCGATATAAACTTTTATTAAATTTTATTTCTTGTTCAGAATTTAAATCCAACTATGAAAATGCAGCTGGAGCTTTAAAACAATTTTAAGCAGATGCGTCATTGGCAAAAGTTTCCTGGCATTTTTTCTGTAACCCGGTAAAATGTAAAAGTATTTCACAGAAGAACCCAACCAACCTTGGAACCACTTTCTCCACTCTCTCTAGCATTTTTGCGGCCATTAAGCGCAGAAGCTTCCTTTTTTTTAGTGAGAGAAGCTTGGCCTGTTTGCATCAGTTTCTTGGTACTTTTTAAAGGATTTCCCAGCATCATCATCATCACCACTGGGAAAGGCGACAGGCGAAATTAAAATGGAAGTGCAAATTTGTTGCTGTTTTGCCGTCAACTCTTTGGCGTTTGACTTTCGTTCAAAGGATGGCAAAAGCAACAGCAACGCCCCGTTGGGAGATGCAAATGAATCCTGGCCAAAACAGTTTACAAAAATGCACGCCCCGTTTTAGCCTTTGCTGTTGAACAAACCGTTTTGTTCACTTTGTCGGTATTTAGTGCTCTGCCGAAGGTTGGGATTTATATGCGGATATATATACGTTTATATAGATTTGAGTAATGAGAAAAGTTTCTATTGGGGCAGAGCGGCACGGTGCGGATTATTCATTAGCAGTGGCTGTAGCTCGGTTTCCAGCTTGTTTAAGACTGTTTTCCTTTTTTTATATATATATATAAAGGTTTTTGGACCACCCTTGCAGCTCTAATTGCTTAAATTTAGTCAGTTTAGTTTTGGGTTAAAGGGGAAAATGTAAATTTCTTAGCCTGCCTTTTGGCAAGGTATTATGGAAATCGCTTAATCAAAAAAGGGAATATTATTTTAATGCATTTTAGTATGAATTTTACTGAAACTTTATCTGTCAAGTGTACTCTTTTATAAACCCTAAGTTACTGATAAATAACTTCATGGCCTAGGCAGATTCTATACCAGCTAGCATAAACTTCTTAATAAACCTTCATGGTATTCAAATTAAACTCTGTGGAAAACTATAATGAATCCAGCAGCAGCAAATCTAAAAATATATCCAACAGATAGTTGTAACTAGCATAGTAAATACCCAAAGAATCAAACTAAAGTGTATCGTTTTTAATCCAGCTTAATTGATAAATAAAGTGGGTAAGCCAAGTAATTAATATTATATTACCTAATCTATAAAGGATAATTGTGCTGCTTTTATTGTGTTCTGGCAGTGACAGGACAATAATTTTATCAGGCCGACCAGTAATTAGGGGAAAACAATCGACACATAATAAAGCAAGCTAATGAAATTTTGGCATTGGCTTCGTGTTACTTTTGGTCATGGCAATTTAATAACATTTTCATGACACCATCATAGCGTTACATTTGTTTAAATATCTATTCATTCCGACAGTCATTAATATTTATTGTCACTGTCAGTCGGAACCACGTGGCTCCCTTATTTTTTGTCGTTTGTTTATTTTATTTGTTTGTTGTTTACTGAATTTGTCGCACAACGGCGAGGAGTCGGCTTGCCTTCCGAGTACATTCCGCCTGGCAATGAATAAGCATCTAAATAATAAGCCTTAAGGACATAAGCAGACTACCAGCTTACTTCCATAAGTTCGCATTCGAGGCAGGCTTAAGTTGGGTCTATTATTTCCCCTTCCTGTATATATATTTTTTCTTTCCCTATGCAGCTTCAGGGTAAGGATATTATTGTCAGACATCGAGTGCCATGATTGATGTGGTAGCGAATGTGCAGGCATTATTATATTTAATCCAAATAAACAAGGCTTTGTCTAATTATAACAAATGAAAGGGATATATGATTGATTAGTCGCCATACAAGAAGTGCAGAGGTTTTCTGTATCTTAAGTAATTATTTTTATAATAATAATAAATAGTTAAATAACAATTTATAATATTTCGCAGCTATTATTTAAGTGTTAATATATCTCTTTGGTTTCAACCACAATTATCTTATCCAATTATCACCCTTTACATAGGACTAAAAGACACAGATTTTCCAGTGATTGTCACAGATAAATGATTCCTATTTACTGACGGCCTTAATGCTTTATTTAATTAAAATGATAATTGTATTATGTTGGGTCCTGACAAACAATAATGCAACCAAAAAGGTTGTTTACGTGTGTGCTACAAATTGTATTATCCAATTAAATGCAAATCGATAATTAGCGCCTGTTATATATCAAATATGATTGCACAACAATGCTTGACAATATGAAATACCACAATCTGCCAATCAAAATTCTAATAGCTGCCTTTCTAATGCGATTATGCGGATTAGAACGCAGCATTATGCAGAATTATTCTACGGTTTGTCTTTGCTGCGGTGCAAAATAATGGTTCAATGCCTTTTCCAGGGTCAGAGCTCTGAATATTTACTTAGTAGACACGATTTGTTGTTTTCCCCTTTTTTTAGTCTCAAGTGTATAAAGAAGGTGAACGAACAGCAGAGCGAATGTTCGCACTCACACACACACACGCTCACAAAACCCCCTTAAGATACATCAATATTTATGCGAGGAATTTGTAGCATACTTTTCAGCAGCCCGATGAGGCGAAGCCTTAAAGCCATTTAATTTTATTATATTTGCGGACTTTAAGGACGCAACGAGCGGTTAAAAGGTCTAAGACCCCACCCAGCGAGTAAATAATTTAACGCACTCAATTATGTACAATAATTTGGCATATAGTACCTATATAAAGTGTATGTATTGAACGTGCTTATATACACAGCGGCGTCCGGGGCTAAATTTAAATCTCTTGAGGGGTGGTTTGCGGCTCTCGTTTTACTAATACATCTGATGAAATGGAATATCTATGACGTACTTTGGGAAGCTGTGAGATGTCGGTGAATGAATTATGAAAATTGGTTTAGTTGTGTGTATTTTTTTTAGAATATGCGAAAAGGTTAAGGGTTGGAAAGAGCCTACACATTATCTGAACCCGGGAATTTAATTAGTTTCATAAAACAAACAGAACCGGACTCATAAATAATATGTTATGTTGTTCATGAATTTGGTCAGGCATATTTCGAAAAATAAATTATAATAATCTAAACAGTGAAAAAATATTCATTTTTTTCTATTAACTGCGAATGCATATATTTAGCTTATTATTTATTCACCAATGATTTATCAAATTTTTAAACAGAGACTCGCAAATAACAAACATATATTTCCCCTTCCATGAACTTACCTCCTTTACCCAAAGTTCAAACCATGACTCTGGCTTTTCTTGGCCCTCTTCAAAGTCAAAGAGTCGACTGCTTTTCTCGCTTTTCCTTTGATGCCTTCCGTTTGCTTGTTATTAGTTATCTGCCGATTTTCTTATTTTCACTTCATCATCTCCTTCCACTTGAACGTTTCTTTTATTGTCTTGTGTTATTCAATTTGGCGTGGATCCGCTTACTTTCTGTGTACGCAAATATTTAAATAAATTTTTAGAAATGTTATTTGCCATTGTGTGCCTTTACGTAGGCGTTGCTTTGGCTCGTTATTGTGGAAATTGGCTTTATTTCAAGTTGTTTCTTTGTGTGTTCATTGAGTTTATGCCAAGTTTATTATTGGATTAATTCATGGATGTGTAAAAAATGTATGTTGTTATTGTTCAAGGCTTTGAGTAAGTTTATATTGGGAGGGAATTTTATAAACTTTTACACAAAAAGAGACTATAATTTGATTTCTTTAAGATAAAAGATTGAATTAAAAGGTATTTGGGGTACGAAAATATTTAAGAAGGGAGAATTTTATTTTTAAAATGATTTTTTAAAACTTTTTCTTAAAGTTTATAAAGAAATTTTAAGGCACACAATTTTACTTTAAAATTTCAAACTTTGCCTAGTGGGAAATCATATTTTGGCACTCGACTTGAAAGTCAACTTCTGCTAATGACATAAATTGAATAATTCATTGCATTGTTAATTTCATAAGCTGCCAGCATTCCCAAATTGAACAACCTGAGTCAGTTGTAATTTGTTAACCCAAATAAAGCTTAGCTAACACTGTGTGACCCATTTCGTTAAATAATTCCTGACTTTGTCCTGCGAGATATCACTTTCCTGCACTCGACTTGGTAGTTTGCAATTAATTGCGAACTTTTCTCCCCTGGCATTTTGCCACCCCGAAACTAGGCTTCCAGAGGAGCTGAGCACATATTATCGTTAATAATGAATGGAACTGAAAGTTTTCCTGCCATGGGACAAGGACAGGAGTGCGGAAGAAGTTGATGGAAAACTTTCCGATAGAGCAGAAGAAATAAACTTTTAAATACACTCAAAATGTGCCCGGCGGTGGAGGGTTTTCCTGGTCTGCGGGTTAGTTCTTGGAAAATTGCCGACAGCTGAGCTAAAATATTTATGAATATTTATTAGTCCTAGACTGTCGCTTATTAAAAACTTAATTGAAGCTGCTGCTGTTGCTGCTGCCGTGAAACCTGTTGCCGCCTCATTAACGTCGCAAATTTCTCTTCGGTTTGGCCGCTGGCAACAAAGTTAATTACAATATTTCATTACAGCCACGGCAGAGGCGTTTATATTTTATTTCCTAACAAATTGCCAACAGCGCATTCAACGCAATAACAGAACAAAAATAAATTAATATAAACCAAGCAAAATAATGCCAAAAAGGAAAATTAAATGGTACAAAAATGCAAAGCAATTTGTAGTAAATAAAAAGCGGAATGCTGAAATGGCGCCCAAATACGCAACTCAAACAGGAAGACAAACTTTTCACGCCCCCGCAGCAAACACCCCTATAATGTGTGTGTGTGTGCACGCACACCGGCACAGTCCACACACACACACACAGATGTGGGGGTCTCAATACATTGACAGCGCACACGGGGACTTTGATTTTCATGACCAAGTGAAAGCGAGACGCAAAGAAGCAGACACAGAAGAAAAGCCAAAGGAAAATGCTGGGGAAAGTTGCCTTTTCATTGAAAGGCATTCAGAAGGTTAAATGCTCTTATAATTTTCGAAAAATTAGACAACAGCTTTAGTCAATTGAACACTAAATTAATTTAGAATAAACAATAAAGAAGTAAAGGTAATGTAAAGAAGCAGTAATTAAAATATAATAATAATATTAATCATTAAGATACTAGGCACTAAAAATTACGTTTTTTCAACCGCTAAATAACTTTTAAATATAAATAAATATAAATAACTCTCTCTTAAAGAAACACTAGACATAAAATACTAATAATATTTTATATTTCTCTATGCCTTTCTATTAAAAACTGTGTGAAATATAGTAACTTTTTCTAAATACAGCTATATATATATATATTATAATATATAAAATATATTTTATCACTTTCTAAATGTTATCTAAGTCATGAAATCTTTAATAAAATATTCATATACCAAAATTTTTACAAAAACATCTTGGAAAATCAAGAATTGAAGATTTCGAAATGCTTTTTAAACAAAGTGCTTCAGACAATATTATTTTTTAAGAGAATTCTTGAAATTCATAATGCGTGAATTGTTCTACCTTCAAATTTCATTAAATTTATATGCGCTTTTAACAATTTCTCAAGAAATTTCATATCAGAAGCCTGCCTTATATATATATATATATATATATTAGTTGGAATTTTGAGGAAACCTAAATCTAAATTCAAAGGCAAAACTCTTTGGTTTGCCAATGAGACCTACAAAAATAAGCATTAAATAAAAGTCAGGGGCAGACACACCGTTTGCTGTCTAGGTGGGATTTATGTATTTTGCCCTGTTCTTCCATTTACTTCTTAGATTTTTTGGGCAGACGCCCACACGGCGCCAAACTGCGCAGTCTGCTCGTCTTGATTATTCAACAGAGTTTGCATCAAAACACGTTATTTTTGTGTTGTGCTTAAATTTACAAATTCCTAAAATTGTATTTTATTTGAAATTATTTTTAATATTTGAATGCTTATTATATTGATTGAGTTTGATTTATTTGAACAACACTTTGTTGGCTCTTAGTGTCCTTTTGAAATTATTTTTGAAATTTTCCTATTCTTTATTTTCCACTTAATTTTTATTATGTTGATTTCAATTAAAGTTTAATCATTAAACACACACGAACGCACAGGACTTTCGTTATTAATTCCAACAACAGTGGCCACTGAGGCTGCCACCCATACACACTCACAATTAAACACCCGCACACACTTTCTCTCTTTCGCTTAGAGGTTTGTTGTGGTGTACCGTTATTCCGCTGTTGCACAACCGACACACTCGCAACTCCGCCACGAACTGTCCCGTTATCTGAGGCTCCAGTTGAAGGAAAAGTTCCCCTCGTGCTTTTTCACAATTTGGTCTCTCTTTGAAGAGTGCTCTCTCTCTCGATTTACCTTTGCACCCCTCTCTCTCTCTCTCACTTTGTGTTTCCCATACAGCTGTTATCAGTTTGATTTGATTTCGCCTAACGGTCCTCGCACAATTTGCCTTCGCTTGGCCAAGCGTGAATGCGTTCTCAAGGATAATGGCGAAACTCACCACACTTGTCGCTCTGGCTGCCAGTCTTCCGCTCTCTTCTGTTGAACTTTCTCTCGGTGTCGCTGGTGTTGCTATCTCGCTTGGACAGACACCTGTAGTGTGAAAGCTTTCCTCGGCTTGCTTGAGAGTTTTCATTATGGTGTCACTGCATTTTCATGCATCAGTATGTAATGTACATCAGTCCAGAAAAACTAACGTTTAAAATTGAATGTGATAGATGGGTTAATTATGATTATTTAAGTACACAATATTTAAATAGAAAATATTAATTTACTATAGGTATTGTTCAAAATTTATTTATAAGAATAGTGTAAAATTAAGGTCAAATATATATGTTTGCAGGCTCAAAACCCATAATCATAGTATTATCTCTGCAGGGATCGAAATAACATAAGAATTGATATACCAATTACCCTAATAAATTGGTCCTTTCAAAGTATAAAAACTATTTTCCAAAAGAGAAGCTATTGTAATATAAAATATGCATAAGTAGATAATATGAGACCCATCCGGGGCATAAACAACCCTACCCCAAATGCGAAATAAATAAGCTTTTCACTCACCCACAAACGCACTCATATTATAGCCTCCCATGTTTAACCCAATGGGTGGTCCTTTGATGACCTCCTGCCCTCAACAAATGGCCATTGCATTTTTAGCCTCAATTATTAAAACAACAGCAAACAACCTGTTGGCATTTGTCTCGTCTCTGTACAACAGCCACTGTATTAAGCGTTTCAGTATAGAATTTGCTACCGTCTAAATGAACTCTTGAAAGTGCCCTGACATTTCACATTGCTTTGGGAGGGTCACGTGGGTCACACTCCACATTTCACTGGGAAAAACCAAGGGTGAATTTAGTATAAAATTTATTAAATTATATTAAATATATCAACATATTTAGAGTTGGATATTTTAATATATCTTGCACAAAAACCTTTAGTTTTTCTGTCTCTAAAATATTTTCCTCTGTCTTGTTTTTTCCCTCTTTAGTCCCTCTTTATACTTTAAAAAGAAAACAGACTGAAGTTTAACCTACTCTTGATTTTGACCCTAAGAACTCTACCCTCTCAGAAAACCCTCAATCCGCATTTCCCTTGGTTGAGCTGCCAGCAACAGTTGACGTAATTTGCAGGTAATATGTGTGTTGCCTGTTGCTTCTGTTTTCCAGCCATTTTCACTGACCAAGACAACCACATTTCACCCTGTCTCCCCCAGGTCCCTCTGCCTCTTAATTTATTTCTCCTCATGGAGTAGGAGGGTTTCATGTGCAAACGAGCCAATCGAGCCACATATTGATTTACGTGTTCGGGATGTGTTCAACTAACTCAGACTGTGTGTACGTACACGCACAGAAATAGATAAATTTAATGTAATTAATAATAAATTTAATAGTTTAAATTAGAATTAAATATTCTAATATAAATTAAATTATATTTCATAGTATATTCGTATAGTATCTTTTGTGTTCTTTTGCTTATTTAGAATGAGTATGTTTATGTTGCAATTGTTTATATTTAGGACTCTTTTCCCTTCATGTTTATCCTTAATTTGAAATATTTATTCATAAACTCGATGAGTTATATTTCGTTCACTAAGTAAGACCAATATTTACCTTTTTTCAGTGCCTTTATAAAGTGTGTAATGTGAACCTTGCTCGAAGTGGGTGTGGCTGAAAAAATCAATTAATTCGCATCCCCTTGGCATATAATGGGCAATTAATTGAGTTTCTCTGGCAGTATCGAAAGTATATTCCCATTGGAATGTTTAGATTCAACTAAAATTGAAATGTAATTTATAACCCAGTTCCCCCCTAACCGTATTTGAAAGATTTGCATTTACAAAGGGGAGAAGAGTTCTATAGCTAGTAAAAAAAGGAAAAAAAAAAACATATTTCTGCAAACATTTCCGCTGCACTAAACGTGATTGAAAGCGGAAATTGCTCCATGTTCTTTTTTATTATCCACCCAGCATCCTTTCTCCTGACCCACTTTCCCCCTGGCTTCTGGCTTCCGTTTGACGGCCGCAAACCTGTGGGACGGGAGAGCTCTGGAAAAGAGGCCCTGACTGATGACTGGCAAATCGGGTTTTTCAATTGACATTTGATGGAAATTGCGTTAGTAACCTCTGGCCCCGCCCATCGCGCTCCTTTGGGCATCCTTCATGGGGAGCCCAAAGTGTTGGCTGATGCGATTATCGCGGCGCTTAACAGAAGCCTTCAATGTTCTCTGTACTTTTTTTTTCCTAGCTTTGGATACTCTGAGAAATTGTCTTTGGATTTTTTGTATAAATAAAATAGAAAGTTTTTGCCTATTTAAAGTCGGAAATTAACAGAATATATTTCTAATTGCCTAGCCATTTGTATTTTATTGGATATCATTATATAACATTTGAGAGATTTAAAATCAACGTAAATATTAGCTTAGGAAGTTATGATTCCTTTAACGTAAGTTTTTAATTTTCGTTTGAGTGTTTTATTTTTTTATAATATTTTAAAATAATTTAAAGAATAATATTTATAGGTAGTTTCTCTTAGTTTGTCTTTAAAAGGTACATCGATTTAAGTTTGAGCAAGTAAACTAAGCACAAGACTTGACACGTTTTCATTTATCATTTTTAAGAAAAGAGTATTTCTCCGTCGTTGTTCCTAACACTGACGAAAGAGCTATAAATTGGGTTTTAAACTGTAGTTAAAAACTATTAACATATATACTTTTTGAGTTGGCTTAAACCATTTACGACATCAGACCCTCGTTGCGCAAAATTGCAGTCATGTCGAACTGCAGCAGGACAATTAAATAGGATGTGGCGGCACTCACAGTCTGGAAAATATATTTAGTTAAATATTTAGAGTAATTATACTAACTTTAAAGCAAACCAAGCTCACCGAAAATATAAATGTATAGTCCAGGGCAAACAGTCCGATTCCATTGAACTGAAAGTAACCTTCCCAGTGAAGGAACTGCAGGGTAAAGGACTTCATCTTGTTGTAGAAAAGATCATTGCTAAGCATAAAGGCGGGTTTCTTCTGCATGATCTCATGGACAATCATTGCCGATTGCTTGGAGTGATTGTTGGCATTGCAGCACAGCCGGAGCACGATGTAGGCCACCACCATGGTGGTGAAGCTCCAGATCACATACAAATAGGTCACATAGTCCAACAGTCGGCTCTTTCCGCTCACTATAAAGTTGACTTTTGTGTCGAGGAAAATTCCAAAGATGCTGACCACAAAACAAGCTGCCATATAGGGTACACACTGTGGCCCAAATTCACCATTTGTTATCACACTTAGTGATAGGATTTTATCGTGCAATTTGAACAGGTCGGGAAGATTGGCCTCCGAGGTGGTTCTGGTTGAGAGAAATATATATTAAAGACATAATAATATCTAAGATAAATTATAGAAGAAATGTTTTTAAAGCCTTTAAATTTCTCTTTCCCATAAATATAAATAGAACCATCAACAACCGTCAACCATTAATTAATCAAAATCAGTGCTTTGTAAATCCACTAAATCGTTTCCTTCTCACCCTGTATTTTCGGCAATGGTGACATTGTCGTAATCAAAATCATCCTCGTCCTCATCATTGCTGGAGTCCACATCGTCCTCATCGTTCTTTTGTTGTCCCAATTGGCGCTTCATTTCACCAGCCAACTTGTGTTCATTGCCAAACGTGCCAGTCGTCCTGCCATCCATGGCCGTTACCGGCGTAATGGTCTTCCTTTCCTTCTTCCCTCGCTCTCGATATCGAAGACCGTGAGGGGTGCATGGCGATGGCGGGCCTCCTGGTTAATCTTCTCGAACAGAGCGTTAATCTGCTCGAAGCGCTGCGAGATGACCGACACGTGATAGATGAACTCGCCCTGGATAATGCTGCCGGCCAAGTACGGGAAGCTGGAAACCATGAACGGAATGAAGGCGAAGTGGCCGAAGGTCCTGCGGAAATGAGGTAACAGTTTACTGTTTTAGCTATAGTTAAAGTTTAAGGTGCAAGGATTTCTTGTTATTCCTCTTAACTACAATTATTTTCAAGTATGGTAGCTTACATATACAAGCCCTGACATCATAGTATAGGGCAAAACTGAACACGCAGAATAGAAAGAGCCAGGTGAAATGATAGGCCACACTATGCTTCACCGCAGTGACCTTAACCTTGTCCATTTCTGCCACTCGACGGCACTTCTGGATGACCTCATCGATCGCATTCAATCGTTCGTCGAACTGCAGAAAGAAATCCTTGCGGCGATACAGGCTCATCAAGGTGATGGTCAGGTAGAGGAAGGCACCCAGATGCATAAACAGATTATTGCTCAGCTTGCAGACACTGTTGCAGGAATCCAGCAGGCAGACACCAAAGGCATGCATCCAATTGATGGTCAAATAGCAGGCCACATAAATGATGGGCACAATGAACATCATGGCGTAATCTACAATAACATTCGAGCCCACCTCCTGGCGATTCAGGGGAATAAGGCCTATGACCTGGATTTGGGAAATGCATCAAATACTGAATACTGAAATATTCCATATTTTTTACCATTGAAAACCAATTCATAATCTTGATCATTTTGTGGTTGCTTTAGTTTCTGTTCTGTTCTGTTCCTTGGGTAGTGCCTGTTCCTGTTCGCTCCTCTATTGGTACTAACTTCATGACTGGTCGATTAGAACCCTGAAAGGGTTAATATTTACTCAATGTACTCACTCAATTGTTGGCATAATGAAACCGCTTACACGCAGTGGCAGGAGAGGATAATGCGCATATGTTTAAGATAAATATCTTCAGAAGGGGCGCCTAAAATGCTTTTAGCTTATTAAATGTGAATTGTACGAGTGCACTGTGGGAAAAGTTTGAGTTATTAAAAGGGTGGAAATAAGAGTTATTTTATAATTATATTTTTGTGAGTTGAGTTAGTGAAATTGTTATATTAATAAGTAGAAATTTTTAAAGAGTTTAAAGCTTTACTTATGATAACAATTTTAAAAAAGGACTTTGACCAATTTGTTTTTTACTTAGTTCAAGTTTCTTTTATGCTATAAAATTTTTTTTTAAGTGCCTTTCTACAATAACTGATACCGCAATTTATTGATTGATAATAACCTTGGTTCTTGAACATTGAACTAAAATTTGTAAAGTCTTCATACTCTTGTAGAAAATAAAGAAATATAAACGCATCAGATGTCTTAATTTAATCTACATAAATAATAAAACCATATGGAAGGAATTAAAGTTAACTACACCCTTTGTGGGGAAAAATGTTTATTTAAGATATCTAGCTCACCATTTTAATTACTTCCACAGCTTTTCCTTATATCAAACTAAACAAATTTAATAGTTTACATAATCTGAAAATTCCCAAGGATATTTACACTCCTTCCCTTTACATTCCTTCACTTGGTTCCTTTTGTGTTGAACACGGGAAATCCAATAATTTCCACATATTTTCACCGCATTTTACTTGCTAATTAAACAATTATAAGTTAGTGCCGCCTAACACTAAATTAACAAGGACGACAACGCCGACAACAAGGTAATCGAGGCAATCCCATTCCCTCGCAAACTATGGCTGAGATATTTCTCGCCTAAGAAAACCAATTAAAAGCAAAGCCCTTCCTGGCAGTAATAACAGGCGACGAGGGACGCGGGTTGGTTGGTTAGTTGGTTGGAGGAAACCAGGAGATGATAAAATGCAAATTTCCCCTGAGTTGAGCATCCTGCTGAAAGGAGGGCAAAAAGGGTGTAGGGGACATTGTGGCAGAGGCTTACAATCAGTTACAACTAAAACAGGGCTATGGCAAGGGCGAAAGGTGCCATATATATATACATATATAGTATATGCTGTGTGCCTTTTGGCCCTCTTAGTTAATAATTGAGTTTGCATCGGAGGCACGCACAAACCAACAACTCGGCACACATATTTACATACGAGTTTCGGGACAGGAAGGATGGTGGAAAACATCCTTTGCATCCATCCTTACCTATGCCCTGCACGCGCTGTGGACCGCAGGTCTCGTGGGCTTCGCATATCCTAGAGATGTGCTACTGAAACTACAATTAATCGCTTGAAATTCATTTATTTACTTAATTTTATTACTATTTTATTTATTTAATAGTTAATATCTTTAATATCCTAGAGTGACAAGGATCCACTTAAATTGGTGTTTGCTGAAATGAAATCTTTATAAATGCAAATATTTTATTCAAAGCTTAAATAAAAGTTTTAATACAACATCACTGGCCATCATAATTTTGTTTAAATATATACTTTTTATTTAAAATACTTTAAAATTACTTGATAAATTAAAAACTTAAATAATATATAACAAGTAAGGCAGGCTTTCAACATTGTCTAACCTAAAACCTAAGGCATATTGTATCTATATAGGTACCTTACACTTTCACTATAATTTCTTTTCCCTCCGTAATCCATATAATCCAAGTGTTATGATCTGATTGAAAGAATCCCTGAATTAAACCCATCTCTAGGTCGTAGACGCATTCTCTGCCAATGAAATGAAGCTTGTTAATAGACATTTGCGTTTACAGAATGGCAAATGAATGTTGGTGCTGAATTGCGGTATCCGTTCTTAGGGTTATCCGGCAGAGTCCCTTAAAAAAGAAGCCTGCTTAGTTGCTGCATGCAAATTAGATGCTGGCATTAGATTAGTTTATTGTAGTAGAACTCAGTCGGTTGTGATTGTTATAGCCCTTGGTGTCCGCCATAAAACGCCCAGCGTTGCAAGGCAATCGCTCTGGAATTTTCCCCGCTGCGCTTTATGGTACTTCCCCGGGGCCCTTCCGATTTACTCAGTTAGGGTTGCCTTTTTATTTTATTTCGTATCCGCTCCCTTTGGCGGTATCAATAAAATTGCGGTCATAAACTGTGACCGTAATGGTCCTCAGATTTTGCCACGCCCCCGTTTGCCAAGTCACTCAATCACGAGGCGCACTCTTAGTTTGCCTCGTCTTATTCCGTTTTTCTCTGGTTTTTCTTATTTTTTGTTGCTTGTGCACTTCTGTGTAATGAGCTTGTTTGCCCAAGATTTTGGCGCAAAGATTTGCCTAAACGTATTTTTCCTTTTTTTTGTGAGCGGTCGGAATTTAGGAATTCAGGATTTGGCTGCTGGCAAAGTGGAACATCTTGGTCCTGTTCTTGTGCGAAGGGCGAAGGCTCCGAGGAGCCGGTCTCGAAATTATGTTAGGCCCCAGGGGATTGTTGGTAGCGTGTTAAAGTTGTTCGCACACTTGCTTTATGAGTGGTTTTCATTTGGTGAGTTTTCCGCAGGAATAACTTAGGCCAAGGACTGATAAGAATACAGACAGGAAGGGAAAATAATTAAGGTTTAATATAAATAGTTTTCTCAGACTTAAAGCTGATAAATACAATATTTGTTTTTAATTATTTGAGATCTTTAAACTTTTAAATTTCAGTTTAATTTAAAGGACATGCTTTAAGGTTTTCTTGTCTGGCATGGGCAGACATGCTTCTCCTCGGCCAAGCTCTGTGGAATATAATCCGGCGGCGAGCAAATAAACCCCAACCAGACATATCAGACATAGCAGCCAGGATAAGTTCTGTGTCTGACTTTCCCCGCTCCTTTCCCCGTTCGTCCTTGCCGCATTTTGTCAATTTGTTGTTTCGACTGCAACATCGTCTCTCCCTTTTGTGGCACGTAAAGCCCTTGACTGTTAATGACTTTTGGCAACTCAACCATTCAGGGAAGTTTATGGCAAACACATATGAGGACCCGGAGCATGGATATATGAGGTTAAGCAAATAGGAGATCATGAAATGTGATATATATATTAAGATTGAATATCTAAACTATATTTTAAGGTTAAATACTGATAGAAAAAATACAAATCTAATAGGCAATAAGAGTATTTGACTTAACAAATATGCCTAACTAACTATAAAAGTTGCTATGCTAGCTGGCTATATATGATATAATCAACTCATTCTATATAAATTATATTCAACTTTCGTTGTAGTGCTCCTATCAATATGACCTTGATTGTGCTGGTGTGCCAAGTGTATGTTTATTCGCTTATGTGTTTGGCTTTATCTTAGTTCAACGTTGCGTCAAACTTAACTAGCCGAACAATTATTTCTAACGCTTTTGTGTGCTCTCTCCTCCTATACCCATCTCTTTCTGTGCTCTTTCTACGCGTGACTGCCATCTCTTTCGCTTCCGTCCAGAAGCCAAAAGTGCTTCTTATTGCTTGTTACATAAATATTTCATTAAAAGCCATTCATAACCGAGCATTCGGTGTTGACAGCCACCGCCCACCGCCATTAGCGCCCACCACGTGTCCAGCTGAAAGAAAGAGAGTGCTGTTTCCAAATGGAAAGAGACGGGTAGATTGCAAAAATAGAGAGAGGTAGAGAGCTTTTCACCACAATTTCGTGTAAACAAATCGCTGGCTTACGGAATGGTTTGCTGCTGCTGCAACTTCTGTAGCAGCTGCCACCGAAGCTGCAACATCGTTTGCTTGCCTCAAAATGTCAAATGCCAAGGTTCGGGGCAGGGTGAAAATTTAATAAGAGCCACAAGTTGGCTCCAATATAAACGCATTAAGTGGGCATCCACGGGCGAAAGTTGATCTACTTATGAAAATGTTATTAAAATCTAAGGATAAACAAGGCTATTTAAAGGTAGTTTTACCTTAAAATAATAATTTAAGCCATGAAATATTAAACAGATTGTAAATGAAATGTTCTAAACAACATTTTAGAAGTAATCGACTGCAAACTTAGCTTGAACTTATTTAAGATGTGAATTACAATTTATGTTAGATAAAATTAGTTAATTCTTAATATGCATCTTCTTAAGATCTTAAGATCAATAATAAACTTGTTACTGTAAAATATATATGACATTAAATTATGAATAGCTTTAATTAAGTTATTTTCACACAACATTTTGTTATAGCCATGTCTGCTTCTGTACATATTTAATTATAACCCACAAAGGTTCATAAATTGAATTTTAATTATTTATTTAATTAAATATTATTTTAATAATTTCAAACTGGGATTACGGTACCTAATTAAGTCGCAAAGATTTTCTACATATGAACTTCAAAAGGACTTTTAAAGAAGTTACTACTTAGGATACAATTAGAAATAAGCTACTTATATATATTTTTTTAATACTAAATATATATTTTTGTATTATAAAATAATTTACATATATTAAATGTAAGAGAAGGTATAAACTAATTTAGTTAAAATAAGAGTCTTTCTCTGTCAGTGATGACATGAACCCCTAGTTTGCCTAAAAGTATGCACCGCATAATATCCACCCACTCGGAACACTTGCCGATCAATCGGTTCAAACCGAATCGAATCGTATCGAAGGGGGATCGCACTATGTTTTGTTTTTGGCAGAACAAATCAAACACCTCAATGGATCTGCCTAGTCGCGAATTAAGCGTTCAGCGCACCGGTTGTCGCCGGCTTTGAATCGCAAACGAATTGAATCGAATCGCGCATTATGCTCGAAGAGGAGAGCAACAACGACAATGGCCGCTCCTGCGGGAACAACAATGGCAGCAGCAAGGATGTGAGGCTGCTGCTCCTGCCGGAGACCTCCTCCGATGGCAATCCGGCGAATCCTGTCACCTCGCGGGCTCCACTCCAGAAGATTTTCATTGATGACCTGACAAAAGCCGGTGACGCGGGAAAGGGGCGCAGGCAGCTGCTGGTGTGGCGGGTGCCCTGGTTTATATTGCTGATGTGCTTTATGCAGGTTCGATTTGATGCAGTTGCTCCAGTTTATCCATTGTCTGTGCTTGTGCATTTTCTTTTTTTATTTTATTTTTTGCATATCCGGCAACGTGGCGTATGAGTGATGTGTGTTTAATTGAAATGGTTTATCACGTATACGTAACGTTGCCTTTGATGAACATGAAAGTATATTACTTTTTACCTCCGAATCAGTCAAAGGTGAAATTATTTAAGGCTCATTTACTATGATTGCGGAAAATTGAATTTATTTAATGCCGTGAGTTATTGATTTTCAAACTAGTTAAATACGTTTATTGAATAAAATATCAAAGCATAATTAATTTAATATTTTGGTATAACAAAAACAATTAAATTTGCTATAACAAATAAGAAATAAGATAGAAAGGTTATATTATTTACCGCACAATCAATTATGAGTATTTTGACTGTGAGTATTATAATTCGTAAATATTTAAAGTTCTGATTTCTAGTAAACTTTCGCTGCTGATAAGCTCTCAGTTTCACTCTCCGTCGGTTGAGGATTCTTAAAAGTGTCTGTTTATAATCACCCATCTCAATAATGCCTTTCCATTTGATTTGTTTAAAACAAAAAAAGAATTTGTTTGCTTTTGTTTGGTTCACCCGCTGCTGCTTCTGCCTGTGTGAGTGCTCCATAAATTATTGCACGGAAATTCATTTGAATTTCCATTTACTGGAAAATTTTGTTCAATCGTTTACTTGTGTGTATTATCTGCGGTTTGAATTGAATTCATATTTATTTGCTTTTCATTTTTTTGTGCTAATCCATTTTGTGGCTTATGAGTTTGGCAGTGTTTGCAACTTGTTGAAATTAAATTCAAATTGATGGTAAATAATAAGTAAGCCAAACAAAGCTTAAAATGCATGAATGTTTTAATAGTTTAGGACTTTTTAGTAAAATATTTAATAATATTTAATAATATATAGAACGTGGTCAATGGGTTATCTATGACCTTTGGAACCACCAAAAGTTTAATCAAAATAATCTTTCTTAGTTAGTATTTTGAAAAACAACTTTGCAAGCAACTTAAAATGTTATTATATATAATATTCAAGGAAATATCATAACATTTTCTGCTAAGAACTAAATCATTTAAATATATCACCTAATGTATCACTAAATAACTTAGCACAGAAAGCAAACTAAATAACACCTTTTAATGATAAAGTTTCAAACAATTAATGCTGCTTTACAAACTTTTGGGTCTTGGCCAATACCATTCCCAAGCCAAAGTCCCACAAGTGTGACCCATTTATCGGGACACTCATTAATTGAAACTCACCTTATTGCGATGCATATTGAACATACCTGAAGCACTAACTTCGCACAGTCAGCAATGCACATCGGTGATTGAAAGGTTTTATTGTTCGGCCCAACCCCGTCGAACTTCGCAAAACTATTACACAATTCAACGCGCTGCAGTCTGCAGTCCGATTTAGCTATATTGCCATTTTAGTCATCAGATTGAACGAATGTTGCAACTTGGAGCTCTGGCATTTGTCATATTTGGTGGCGGGATATAGTCATGTTGCACCGATTTGGTGTCGCATGCGTGTTTTTGCGGCTGCTGTCAACTCATGCGGCGCACACTGTGCGGCATCTCAGCTAAAAACACTCAACGATCGAAGATCTTCGATCCACGATCGACGAATGACAATCACCTAAGCCGAGTGTTGAGCATTTGAGCGAAAGTGACAGGGAGGTGAGTGTTGCCTGCCATGACACTGTTCTTCATGATTGGGGGTGAACCGATATAGCAAAGACCACTAATGGCAAGGAGATTGGTTTGACGATATGAGGAAACTTATAAGAAGACTATTACTATAAATATTGTTAAATAATAAAAGCAAATCATGAAGGAAAACTATTTGGATTTATAAATCATTTAAACATATTTATTCTAGTAAGAAAACATCCTTTTTAACTGCTTTAAATTAATATTTTTAGAGAGATAAAGAGCTTTCTCCACTTGTTCCCTAAACTATTTCTTTGCAGCTTAGTGCTGTGTAATTAAAGGTCTTCCCTTCATCTTTTTTTCTTTTTCCACTATACTAGATATCACTGCACTTGATCGCCAATGAGTGCATGAAAAGAAGACTGATCTATAAGCCAGAGTGGAGTGGAGAGTACTGGAGACTATTAACCTATATGCTGCTCCATGCCGATGTGTGGCATTTGACTCTCAATATATGTCTTCAGGTGAGTCAAATTAATTAATCAAATTTAAGTAATTCCACTTTTTAAATAAGAAAATTCCAAATTAATATAAATTGCTAATAAAAATCAGCAATCTCTGCCCAGATTTTACCCTTTCGTCCCCCCGTATTGATTACTAACCAAAGGTCAATGTTTCTTTAGTGCTTCATTGGTGTCTGCCTGGAACTGGAGCAAGGTCACTGCCGCCTGGCCGTGGTCTATATTGCCGGCGGGGCTGCCGGCTCACTGTTCTCGGCGTGGTTGCAGCCGCATCTGCTGCTGGTGGGCGCCTCCGCCGGGGTCTACGCCATGCTGGGGAGCCATATGCCGCACCTGGTTCTGGTCAGTCAGCTGGAAACCGCAATTGAGATTCGATTAATTTTACACAATTACCGCTCTGTCCAATATAGAACTTTTCGCGGCTATCTCACCGCTTCTCCCGCATCGCCGCCCTGCTGATCCTCTTCCTCAGCGACGTGGGCTTCACCACCTTCCATTTTCGCCACAATCATAATCGAATCCGCGGATTAGTCTGGAGGCGCATATGGGAGGGGGCGTGGCCGGATTGTTGTGCGGCTTCATTGTGTACCGGCGGATACGGATACGGAAACAATTCAGCAAGGAATCTAGTTGTGGTCTCAAATAAATTAGTTTATGCGCCTTATAATAAGGATCATTTAAAGAAAATAATTTCTATTATATTTTCTCGCTTGTAAAACTATGTAATATTCACTTTAGCTAAACAATTTGTTTGGTCAGCAAGGGCTAGATAATGTATGTTTAAGACTAACTTAATTTCCTGAAATTATAATATAATATATATATGATCTCATAGATCATCAAAAGCCCTCCATTTAAAACGTACACTAAATTAATTTAAAACATATTTATTAAAGAAAAATCCTATAGCGATCTCTGCCAAAAGTATAATCTATAAATCACTAAATTCCATAAACTCTTCTTACTTTTTAATATTCTGGTCTGGCCATGTATTTCCTAATTGAATGAATTGTCGTCAACAATAATTTAATGCCATATATTTTTTTGGCCTTTTGTATTATTTGGCCACAGAAAAAAACACCCGTTGTAAACTTATATTTCTTTCTTTTATTTGGACACGCATAAATAAATATGGCGCTATGAATAAACATTAATTTTTTACACCCCATAAAATGGATGAGAGCGTGTTTATGTCTGATTTTTATGAGTTGTTCTTTTGCCAAGCAACTAATTGGCCAGCACTTGTTAACGGAATGACTTTTCAATTGAATTAATTTATTACTCATCAAGTGGTTTTGGCTAATTGTTCGTCAGTTAGTATTTGTCAGAGGTAGGCATTTACAGTCCAAGGGAAGAGAGATTTTTTAAATGTTTTATTTAATATTATAATTAGTTTACGGTCCGCCGTCGAAACCAGAACTATTCGAGGAATGTTTGGCCACAAATGGGAGTGTATTTAATTATTCATTTTTAGTAATTATCAATTCGAAAATAGTGCAACAAGGTTGTAATTAAATGAATATTTATAGGCTCTTTGTTGAAATGAATTATAGGCATTTATAGATTTTAGTCATAGTTTACGATAATAGAATGTTAATCTACATTAAATAATTCATAATTCTTTAATAATTCTGATCTAAATCGTTGAATTACAAACCGTAAATTCACTTTTATTTCAAGGATATTTTAACAATTAACTCTACAGATTTATGAAGAAACCCAAATAATTAATATTCTTTACTTGAATAACTCCCAATAATACTTGCACTTTGGTTTGTTTTATGAAATGTATACTTTATTTTCATTAATACTATCTTAATTAGTTTTAAATGCCGAGTTAGGTATGTTAAATATTAAGATTTCAATCGAATGATTGTAAATATATTTCTATAATACAACTTACTATCTAAAGCAGGCCTAAATCTCTACCCCTTAGTTAGTTACAAACTACGGATTAGCATACGAACTACAAACTACCATTAAGAGCTGACACTTAAACCTATACACACACTATCATTGCCCATTGAAGGGGGATGATGATTTCGATTATTTGGAGGGAAATGTCTAAATTAACAGTCTAATGGGCCGCACTTGACGCCCACCTCGGTGCATTTGCATTCCAGGCACTGGCTGGATAATTCCACTATAATCCGACCCACACGATACATGCGTCCGTAAATGTTACATCCCGCCAATTTCAACTGACCGAGGGGATCTCCCCCATCAAGGGCCGGGAATCCCGGTGCACCCATCCGATCCGGAGGTGGCGCTGACTCCTCTTCCGCGGATTTAGCCGGCGGAGCAGCAGTTGTTGGCGGTCGCGTTGCATGCTGGTAATGGTGGAATTGCTGCGTTGGCTGCTCATGTGGCTGCAACGGCTCCTCCTGCCCCTGCGGCGGCAATCTGTGCGGTCTCACCTCGTAGCTGGCGTCCATGAAGGGCAATTTGTCGAATGGCGAGTTCAAAAACGGATGCTGTGTAGTGCTTCTCGTTGCTGTTGTGGTTGATGTGGCAGGTGCCGGGGTAGGAGGAGGAGTAGGAGGCGGAGTAGGAGGTGTCCTGGTTGTTGCCGGCGGGGCTCTGGTGGCTGCTGGAGTACTCTGGCGACGCGTGGCACTCTGAACCTTACGTCTATTGCCGGCGGTCTGTTTGTTTTTCGTTTTACTGCCACCCTTTTTCAGCCCGGAGCACGTGTTGTCCAGTTGGGCGACCTGCGGTTGCCGCTGCTCCTGCTGATGTTGCTGTTGCCGTTGCTGGTGTACCAGTCACAGTAGTTGCTGATGTTGCTGCTGTTGCTGCTGCTGCTGTTGCTCCTGTTGCCGCTGGCATTTGCTTAAATGGCGGCACTGTGCTGCTCACTACATCCCCTTTGGGCAACTTCAATCCGAGCAGCTCATCCAAAAGCTTATCTAATTTATTGATTTCATATTTATCTATCAAGGGGGTTTCCTTTTCCGTTGTCGTTGCTGCTGCTGCTGTATGCTGCTGGTGAAGAGCTAAGATGTGGAGGAGGATGAAGTGGATGTGGAGTTGCTAACACTGAAAGTGACAGTTTCAATATGCTCTTCAATCGCCGGCTGCTTGTTCGCTTTGTCAACGATTAATTCATCGAGATTGGGCGATGGCTCTGTGTGTATGACATCTTTAAAAGGATCGGGTGTAGTGATTTCTATATAAAAATAACAAAGAATAGGGAAATTGTTCAGAAAATGTAGAAAATTTAGAAAAATTAAAAGGGAAAAGGGTAAAACACATGAAAAATGCTTACCTATCGAAGCTGTATCGTTATCTTGCTTTCCCGCCGTTGTGATATCAATTATATGCTGTGTGACATGGAAGTTATCTACCGGCCATTGATTCCACTCGAGGTGACATGCTCCTGAAGGACTTCGCCATCGATAACCAGCGGTTCCTTGGGCATGAATCCACCCTCCGTTTCGGTGGAGGCGAGAAGCCATTGTGTGAAGGTGGAACCACCGGTCTGTCGAAGTCGAACTTAACATAGGCGGCACTGCCCTCATATTTCCCACCCAGATGAACCACTGGCTCGGGAGCAGGCTGCACCGCTGGAACTTCCACATTGAACTTGTACTTGTAGGCAGCCTGATCAGGTTGGGATTGTGTATACAGAGCCACTGAATCATCCATGGTGTCATACCCTACCACATCCATTTTATCGGAGGCTACCTGCTGCTGATAAAAGTTACTGGAATAGGTCTCCTTGGGCACCGTTTCCACGGCATCGGTTGGCAGGAAAGGTATTATTTTTAGATTCGGTAGACTGGAGGAGTGTGGGTTCTCCACCACTGGCGTCTTCTAGGGGTTCGGCTTCCAAAATAGTGGGTTCGTTTTGATAACTAAGGGTTTGGAGTACTTGTAATGTAAGGTTTAGTCTTGGGTTTAAATTTCGGCTTGCTAGTGGTTCGAATTGTGGTTTGTGATGTCGAAATTGGTTTGTGTGTTGTCGAAGTTGTTGTGTTGAAGGAGTTGTTGCAGGAGTTGATGAAGGAGTCGAAGAAGGAGTTGATGAAGTGGTTTTTGGTGTAGTTGTAGTAGTTGTTGTGGGTCTTGCTGTTGTTGGTTTTTGAGTTGTGGGTCTTGGAGTAACAGCCTTCTTAGCTGTGGGCCTTGAAGTACTGGGTTTTTGAGTTGTCGTTTGTAGAGTTGTGGGTTTTGGCGTCGTTATAGTTTTCCTTGTAGTTTTTAGCTTAGGTTTGTTGGTAGTAGAAGGCTTTGGAGTGGTTTTCATAGTCGTAGTCTCAATCGATGTTCGCGTGGTGGTAGTACTGGGTTTTTCTGTAGTTGTAGTAGTTAAGTTGACCCTGTTTTCCGCCGTTCTGAGGGTCACAGGCTGCGACTGACCATATTTGCTGGTCACCACCAACATGGGCGGTGTCACTGTGAGATTAGCCAGCTTCGAGTTGATTCGCGTGTGAGTTGGTTTCCCACTTGGCAGAGGACGGAACATGGGTGGAGCATACACATTAGTTTTCAGAGGTTTCTCCGTGGTCGTAGTGGTGGTTGTACTACTCGTTGATGTCTGATTCAGAGGCTCTTCAAGGATCCCCGATAGTCCATCTATCAGGGCATTGAAGAGACTTGGTTCTTCTTTGGGAGGAGGAAGTACAGCTTCGGTTACTGGTTTCGGCCAAATCCCAGAATTGGTCATGCTAATTTGCTGAGCCTCTGCTGGAAGTTCACCTGCTGCCATTTCCCCATTGTCAAATTGCTCTTCAAAGTCCTCAGCTATCCGCTTAATACTATTCGTTGATGTCTTCACTTCCTCGGATTGATTCTGTGTAGAGCTGGTTTCCGTGTAGGCCTCGGTGGCGGGAGGTAGTTCCTCCTCATCGGGTCCCAGGAGTATATCCATCCAGGAGAGAGTATTCTTAACCGTGGTAGACTCCGGTTGCCTAACCTCTTCTGGCAACCCATCTCTGTACTGGGGCCTAAGAGGAGATCCAGAAAACTCAGGGCTGTGGTGCTACTGGTACCTTCTTCATTGGCTTCCGTCCTCATCAGAGGCGGAGCCTGGGTGGTCCTTATTCCCACCAGATCCAGATTATTGGCCAGCATTTTATTGTTATTGCCATCGATGAACTCGAGACCTTCGCGCAGCGTGTCCAAGATGCTCTTCTCACTGCTGACCTCCAGGGGATTGCCCTGAGGAGCTCTAGTGGGATGACGATCGTGTGGATACCTCTCAGCCATGGAATTTGGGGTATTATGCCCGTCTCCTGAACATCCGGTTCTTCCTTGCCAAAGAGCATATTGTACAGGTTAAACTGTCGTGAGTTGTGTGATCTTCGATAATCCCGCTGACTGCCGCAGTCATAGCTCGAGGGACAGCACTGTCCCTTGGGCACCACCGGGATGCAGTTCTTCAGCGCCGGCGAGCACTTCTTGGGGCACAACGACGTGTTCCTCGAATGCAGAAGCAAATGTCACAGGGTCTATCCACATCCGAGCGCATCTTCTGACCCTCAGCGTAGAACTGAGAGCCCACAGTGCAGCCTCGATTGCGCTGCAAACGCTGTGACATGCGCTGGAAATGCTTATTCGAGGTCTTCCTGTACCGAACTTCTTGGGAGGATTTGCCCGAGGTTTTGCTGCTGCAATCATAACGAACCGGGCAGCAAGTGGAGTCCACAAAAATGGGCTTGCACCCTCTACTGGCAGCATGCACTTGGGTTTTACACATTTCTCGGTGCCACCTGGTTGAAAGGGATTAAGTTTTATTAAAATAAATTATTATTCTTTGGGAGAAAAAGAAGAATTACCTATACAGTAGCAGTAACTGCATAAATTCGAGGATGACATGGCCGAACCTGACTTGTAGACAGTTCCATTCTTTACACAAACTAAAGGAAATGGAATAAACTTTATAATAATTACTCCATCAAATAGATTCTCTAATCTTACCAAACAAATCCGTATCGGAATCATCCGAACGCCTTTGCAACATGTTATCATTGACCACACGATCTATGGACTCCCTCTCATAATGATCCAAGTAGGCAATGATGCGTCGTTTGGTGGGAATTTATAGAAGGCATCCAATCGGGCACAGGACAGATATGGACAGCAAGAACTCTTCTTTTGGACAACCACACATCCCCTAGGTGGAGGCATGGGCATCTCGGGACACACTTTTAGGCGGCACACAAGAGTCTTCCGGTTGCATTGACAATTGAGGCACTTTTCCATGCTGGGCACCACCGACTTGTCAGCGAACCAGGTGCCATTGTGGTGACACCCTGGACACAGAATAAGGATAGGGGAAATTTATAATAAATTAATACAAATATATATTAATGATATAATTAATTCAACCTTTTACCTTATAGGGGCTTTAGTTTAAGGTCTAAACTTGTTCGATGATAGTTTATTAAGGAAAGTCATAAACAAATAGCTTTTCAATGCCTCAGTCAGAATCAGAACTTAAAACTAAGTGAAAGAGTCATTTCCGACCCTATATATCATATATATTATTGATCAGCATTAACAGCCAATCGATCTAGCAATGTCTGGTCGAAATCTATTTTTTTCAAAATTTTCTAAAACTGGAAAATTTATAAGGGGTAACATCATTGAAATTGTCAAAAATTAGCAAAAAATTTCATTTTGTAAAATTTAAAATTGAGTATGCAGATTTATTAACTAAATAAAAATTAACATAGCAATGGTTTCCGAATTGAAATTAATGTCCTTTTAGCTTACTTATGAGTTTTTTAAACTTTGATTAGTTTGAAAAAATTGTCATACAAAATATCTATAATATTGATTCAAGGAATTAAATTTTTAATCAAAGTTCAAACAATTTCCGATTGGAGCCTATAATTCATTTCATACCAAATTCAAAGTATATAAGCATCAGATTCTGGAAGTTAGTTTCCTTACTTGTTTATTAATTTGTTTTGATAAAACTCAACAATTAATACCTATTATATCCATTTTTCCGCTATTTTTCCAACACAGGGCCAGAAACCTTTATATATACTTCTCACCCAATGCCACACATTTCACAGACATTAGCCGCTTGCTATGTTTTTTTTTATATACCTTAAGCCCAGAATCCGTAGCGAACTCACCTGTATTCGACGTGATAAATGCATCCAGCTGTGCGGGCCAAAAAAGTAGGAATAATGCCACAACCAATATGCTGACTAAGCGCAGCGTCATCTTCGCTCGTTCCCGTTGCGTCGCCGAAGAGCATGAATAATGCAGCGGAGTTGGAGTCGGAGTTGGGCCCTCCTCCTGTCCAGCAGATGCTCCTACTCGCCTGGCAGTCTGGCAGAGCTCAGTATCTAGTATTTAGTGTCCAGTATCCACTATCCACGATCCAGTATCCAGAGCTAGAGTGCAGTGCTAATGCGTAGAATGTGTGTCACGCGGCGGCAACTTTCGAATGACAGCAGCGAATGGGTTGGCGGCACAGTGGTAATGGTACTCGTAATGGTACAGGTGGTAATGGTGGCTCTGCGCATGCCCACACCGGCACAGACCAAATTAAGTCGAGCTCGAAATTAGCCGCACATTTCCACAGGTCGTCGTTCGTTCGTTCGTTGTTTATCGCCAGTGCCAAAGTTCTGCCACACTTTTAATGAACCATATATGGCTAAAAGAAAGAGAGAGGGGTAGAGGAGAGGGGGTACGTGTCAGTCATTAGTCTTACAATGTTGAATAATGTCGGCGAAACTATGCAACAGGTTGCCTGCGTAAACAACTTCATTTGAATAAGCTTCAACGGGGGCAAGAGTACTAGGAAATACGGGAAAGATTGCCAAAGATTGGTTAAGAAAAGAGTACACAATCAACTCAAGAAATAAGCCTCAATTGACACAATTTTAGTGGTTAGATATTACAATTTAAAATTTTATTTTTCTATGAAATATATATTTTAAATTATGACTAACTTGACTATAAATACAAACTTAAAAGATATGCTCCTATTAAAAATAATCTTTGAATTGATTAATTGATAATCTTAGAAATAAAACTAAACAAACTTCATTAATCAGGCTTTTTTCTGAACTTCAATGCACAAATACAAAAGATTAAAAGATAAATAACCAAAAACTAGTAGTTGCTCTTTTAAGCTCATTCAAAAATGTGAATTTAAGTAGCTTTCTCTTTAAAGTTAATCCCCTTGTACTTTACCCACTCTTAATTTATGAGAATAAGAAATATATTTCGGTATTTTTGTCTTATCTTCCAGTCTTAATCCCCTTTAATAATTTTACACAATTTACGGTCTTTGTTTATCCCCATTTGATTAGTATTTTCGAGTGCTTGGCATCAATTCTCACACGGAAATGGGCCAAACGCAAGTGCTGTCAAAAACCATCAATAAATACACAAATGGAGAACCGATGGCTATCACAGCGACACCCCAGCTAGAGTCATAAATAATATTAATCAAAATCAGAGGAGAGAGAACTGGTCTCGCCGGGGAAATGTTCTGCCTCCAAGAATCCACTTCGCACACCTCGAAAAAAATATGGAAAAAAGACCATCAACAGAGCCAGACGCGAGTGGCACGCAAACGCAAAACGCAACCACTGGAAAACAGCCAAACAAACATGAAAATCAAATAAAGAGCCAGGCGAATGGCGGTCATTGCCAGCGAAGAAAACCGCCGAGTCTGCAAGACACATTCTGGCCAAGAATCGTCCCCGGTCCAACGGGCCAAGAGCAAGAGCCAACTAACCACAACCAAACTAACAACTGACAACAAACAACATTGTTGGCCAACTCGGGACAACTCTGAGCTGGCCACTGCAGCCACTTTCATTAAGAACGTGATTAGCAGCGAAAACTTACTGGCATGCAAATGTAAAAGCAAACTCTTGAGTGAAAAAGAGTGGAAGATACTATTTCTGGTTCTAAGAAAATACAAGTTGGGGGATACTCTCCTTAAAATGGAAACTTTAATTACAGAGAGAATTTTTTAATAACTAAAGAACTCAGTGGAGGGGAAATATAAATTGAGGAAAACTAAGTGTTATGAGCTTAAAAGAAATTAAAGTTGGTAAAAGGTGTTATTATGTATAATATTTATTGTAGAAGAATTAAAATTCACAATAAGGGTAAATTACTTTAATATATAAAAACTATATATCACTCTGGAGTTTTCCTAAAGTCATTAAATTAGAGCTTCTTTTTGAATTTTTAATGTATAAATTGTATAAACCAATTTGATACAATAGCAAAGCCATTTTGGCTATCATTCTTTATATTTGGTATATTTTTAAACCCATCTAACTTTAATATACAATTTATAAAATAAACACCTGCAAAAGTCTATTAGATTGTTTGCTTTCCTATACAAAAATCTTGATTAATTATAGTTACAATATTTTAAAATATTTCAAACAAATTCAACTAAAACCAAATCCTCTCAACCATTCTTTCCATTTATTAAATATTCTAAATAAACAACAATTAATTAATTTACTGCAACGTAGAATAATTACTCTCAATTAAAACTAAAAACTCTACATAAATCTTTAATTAAAAACTTCATGTTCAGCTATTAACTTAAGATGTGTAATAATATACTTGCTATAGCTATTACATAGCCCGAAGACCCCGAAAGCCAAGCCTGATTGCTTCCAGCTTCCTCGCTTAATTGGAGCTCTCTTTTTTTGCATACTGGTACAGCCGGGTCTGTCGTCTGCCTCTCCTGGCCTTGCACAATTTGGTCGCAGTTGGTTCTCATGACAACTTTTAATCAAGTCATTATCTGAATGTCAAGAGCCGGAGAAGATCTATGCTGGAGAAACTTTCACGGGACACGAACAAAAAAAAAAACAGAAAAAAGCAGAAGTCACAAAATTCAACCAAAGACCGAATCCGAATTTCGGTTTCACACAATAAATCAGCTGCAGTTGACTTTAATGTCGCTGTGGTTTGGTTCACTGGCAGTGGTTTTAATTGAGAGCCACTCGGTGGCGTTATTTGCATGCCAACCTCATGTACTTGGCCATGAAAATGCAGGCTTAGAACAACAACAGGGCCAGAAATTGCAGTTGCTTGTGGTGGAAACTCTACGGCTTAATTATGGATTTTCCAGAAAGCGATTTGCATCGGGGCCAAAATAAACATATAGTATAATACCATAATTTTCGCCAGAGGAACTCCGGCTGCTGGCCACGCACTCAAGAATGCGAGTGTAGGTATATCTTTCTCCAAATCCAGAACGTGTGTAAGCCCGGTCGACTCATAAATAAATTACTGTAATTACAATGGCAAAGACAAAACCAAAGCAACCATGGCCCGAAAGAAAGCGAGGCTGTGGGAGCAAATGCCACTCAGGTGTCCAACACAAGAACTCCGCATAATGGGGCCAAGCAATTACGCCCAGACAACTTTATTTATATTTCTATTTTTCCTTTTTTTTTTTTGACTTGGCTATACACTGTACGAAATTAATCAAGTCATTTGGGGCCAGAGCGAAAGTGTTGAGATTAAAAGTTGCCGATGCTCGATTAGTTAATCACAACGCAAAGTCACTTGGCTTGATCTCATCAACCTAGATTGGGTCTCAAAGAAATTAAAAGTTTTTAGGGTTTCGGTTTCATTAACCCAGTTGGTGGAAGAGTTTGGACAATAGTTTCGGTTCGAGGTGAATCCGCAAGAATGTGTTTTTACGCAAAACAAAAAATAGAAAGAGAACTGTAAATGGCAAAATCACTAAAAGTGATCCATGACCTGGTGGCTGTCAATCAGGGTTTCAGAATTTCACCAAGGAAAGTTATTAAGTTAAGCCTTAAATCTTAGGAATTTAAACGAAATGTGAGTATTATTGCTATGAATTTTAACAAATATAATTACTTTTCTTGAAGGTAATACATATATATTTATTAAACGGGAAATCTTGAGGATATATTGGAAATTAAACTGAAACTTGTAACTTTTGCATATAGTATACTATACTATTTAATTGCAATTTGAATAAATTAAAGCCTCTTTTAACAATTAACAAACCCAGCTCAAGTTTCTTAATATTTTCACTCCTTCTTAACAAACTTCATTCAGTAAAACTAAAGAGCCACATGTTCATCTGAAGAAATCAACCCAATTAACTAGTTTAACTGTCCCGAATCGGCACAAAGCCACTTGACTGACAATAAATTCTATTTGAGGCGAAAAACAACCGATCTCCAAAGTCGAACTGTAACCGTGACATCGATTTGGCCACAATAAAATTGGTTTCGGGTATTGGGTTTTGGGTATTGGGTATGGAGCATTCGCATCCGATAGATACACTTTGCCAGGCCATCGGACTATTTGACACAGTAGCAACGCCCCACTGACAGATTTATTTATCTGGCTCTTTTCCAAGCACTCCCTCCATATTTGGACGCTGATTTGTGAAAGGCGAGTGCAAGATTTTGCGCCAAGCTCTGGCCTTTGTCTTCTGTCTTCGCTCTGTGACTACTGGGCATATTTTTTGTTTTTTTGGGCGCATTCTAACTTATAATTTGTAACAACTTTCACCGGGCAGCGATCGGTGCAGCACAACTAGCACTTAAGATTATGTAAATATCGTTCAGGCTTAGCTGAAAGAAAATCTAATAACAATGGGCGGCAGCTATAGAGGAGCTTCAAGCCGAGCAATTCGGATTGAAAGAGAAAGAGAGCTCCGAGATTGAGATCGAGATCTGAGCCTATTTTCACTTTTGCAAATTGTCTTAGAACACGGAACACGAATAGAAATCGAAGTCAGTGCGAGTCAATAAGCGATCATTGAGGATTGAAACGTGAGCATGACCAACACTAGTCAGCAAAAGCTGGAGATCTGATTCCATTTCTAGATAAGTTTTACACAATTAATACAATTAAATTAAATGGTTTATTTATGAATATATAAAGATTAAATGCTATGTAAGGCAAGAAAATGAGCAAGAAATTAATAACAAAGGAAAACACTTTAAAAAACTGTCCTTAACTTTATTATAAACAAATATTTTTCACTATATTTTAGACTCTAGTGAAGTTAAGAAAACATTTATCATAATTTTATTCCCTTGCAAGGGTATTATTATTGAAGTCAAAATTTTTCAAAATTGTAACTTGAGTATGCAGACTTATTAACATATTAAAAAATATTTGATTTAAAGAATGCGAATTCTTTATGCTTTGTTATTATATATTTTCATTCGATCCTTTTATTCAATTGCAA